GGCGGGGGGGCTGAGGGCCGAGGGGCGCCCGGCGGATCCTCTCCGCGGGGACGCAGTCAAGTGGGCCCACAAGAAGTTTACTCGGCCAATATTTTGGCTCGTGCGCCGCGAGCCGGACAACAGTGAGCGACCGGAAGGAGAAGCCATAGAGCAAAAAAACAACCAAAAAACGCAAAAGATCATCGGCACACACATATGTGTGCGCGCGCGCGTGCGTACGTACGCAAACCTCTGCCCCCTCGGCAACACAAATACACACGCGTCGAAGTGGGCGCGGCGTATAGCGAGAGGACAGTGCGCTCCCCGTAAACAAACAGACACACCTCCTCCAGGCCCTCTCTCCCCCCGAGCCCCGGTACAGGGAGCTATGGGGCGGCGTGGAGCGGCTGGGCGGGGTGGGGCGGGGCCGGGCGGGCCCCGGGCCCCTTGCTCTCTCTCCCCGCAGCCAGTATTGTCTCCGATACGTGACAAACCACAGCGGAAGGGGTGGGGAAGTCCCGACGTGTGCCTTTGAAGGGCAAACTTTTTGTTGACGTTTGAGTCGCGATTGCCTCGGCAGACGCCCAACCCCCGCCGCCCCCTTCCCCTCGCGCCATGCTCCAGAGGGCACGATGAGTTCCCACATCCCCACCTCAAAGAAGGAATAGTGTATCGTACATCTGTAAACTTTTCCCTCGCTTTGCCGAAAACAAGACATCGAAAAGGTGGACATCTCCGCAGCGGCTGGTTGGTTCAGTGGACCGGGCCCGAGATTTCAAGTCCAATGAGTTCAACACTCCGTGCAAGTATAGCTCGTCAAGGACTAAGAGCACAGAAATTAAGTATGAAATATTCCCCACAAGAAACAGTTTACGACACCGGAAAGTGTTCAACTGGCAGTTACACACTGGAAGTATTTACCGATTGGACACTTGATTGATCAGTGGCCTTGGGGGCGGTGGTATAGAGCAGTGCACCGGTTGGGCACAGCGGGACACGACGGGGCAGGGTAGGGCGGGGCAGGGTGGGGCGGGGTGGGTAGTCGCTCGACGGCGCTCGCAGGGCAGGGCGAGCAGCGCCGCCAGTAAGGGTGCGCCAGTGCCGGCCGCGCTGCCCTCTCTCTCTGCGGCCCGCGGGCCACGCACGGCCGATGGGGCTGGACCCGGGCGGAGGCGCCTGAGGACGGCGGTGGCCTCCAGGGCGGCCATGGCGCGCAGCAGGAGGGACGTCATCGCGCAGGTGGTGGCCGACTACATGCAGCAGACCTCGCTGCACGGCTACCGCTACCTCACCGAGCCCGGCCGTCACTGGTTTGAGAGGTGAGGCAAAGAGTCGAGCACAACGGGCATTGCTACTTTTGCTTTACATCTCACTGTGCTGCGCATTGACAGGCTTTCAGAACAGATCAAAATTTTCAAAATCTCACCAGAAACGCTATTCCCAATAAGCATTGTAACTACTGTCTTATTTAGGTTCTCATTTCCCCTGCTCATTACTCCAACCAGCGTATATCGCATCACACACCCCATCCAAAAACAAAACAAAGAGACAAAAACTAGCAGCAAAGGAACAAAAAAAAAAAAAAAAAAAAAAAAAAAAAATCGCGGAAACGGGGCGCGCTTTCCCACAGCAGTCTGATCCGAACCGATAATGGACTTATTCTCCGAATCCAATACAAAATGAGATTAGGGTGCCTGACAAGAGAAAGATGCGGCAGAGGGTTGCGGAGGGACCGAAAGGGGGGAGAAAAGGGGTACAGAGGAAGAGGGTGGGGGAGGCTGGGGGAGACAGAGACAGAGTGAGGGGGCAAGGGAGGGGAGAGAGAGAGCTAATTACCCGAGGCGGTGGGGTGGCATGGCGGGGAGGGCCAATGTTAACGCCCTGAAACTCTCACGAGGGACCAGGGGGAGAGGGGGTGGGATATCTCGTTCATTGAGCGTCCCACCAATGGGAAACTTACTTGCTGCCAAGCCCATTTAGGGTCGCCAGCGCTGCCCCCGGGGCTGCGCCGGCCGCGCCGGCCCGGCCCTTCACACCTTCAGCCCCTCCCGGCCCGGCGCCAGGCCAGCCTACGGGGCGGGGAAGGGCGGGGCACCCCCTGCAGAGGCCAAGGCCGGGGGCCTCGGGCCCGAAGAGAAGGGTTGGCGAGTCAAGGCACCGTCTTAATCTCACTCATTCAGTGGAACACAAAACTGCACATTCTTGGACAACTTCGGGCCACGGATCAGATACGTGCGGGAGCACTCTACAAATAGGGAATTTGAACAGGTTAGTGAACGTTTAAAAGATTGTGTGACAATGTGTCAAGCATATGATTCACTAAAAGAAAAGTGTGACTGAAAAGTGTATATGTGTCCGACGAGTGTTGACATGGTTGTTGGTTGTCTCGCACTGTTTTGTGTGGACATGCATGACTGACATGCACACATTTGTGTGAGTCATTTTATCGCGCCCTTTGAAATAATCGAATGTCTCAGAGTAACGTTTTACTGCTACTGCATGGGCGAGAAAGAGAGGGAAAGAGAGAGAGGCTCAGTTGTGCGGGCTGTTGGCGGCAGCGCGGTTCGAGAAGCTCCCAACCCGCGACAGTTTGCCCCGTCTCCAATGCAGTGGTGCATCCTGTCTCCTCTCCTGTGCACCAGTTCTCGAAGTCTGGGCAGCGAGCCGACTCCGGCGTCACATGCGAGGAGAGGAGGCCGAGACGCAGAGGGAGAGACGGGAGGGATAGGAACAGAGACGAAGAGAGAGAGAGTACGATCAGGGAAGCGCGCGCGGTATGAGGCGCACTGGAGAAGCAGGAAATGACGAAATTCGTGACGGGAATACGTCGTCGGCACCACACCACCCGTGTTTGCGGACGGCCCCTCCCACACTATATTGCCTTTCCAACTCCTCAATTCAAATCGCGGGGCCCTTAAACCCTACAGCGCGCAGCCCCTCCCCTTCCTCTCCGCCCTGCCCAGTATCACATCCCCCCGAAACTTTGACAATCTACGCCAAGGTCATTCCCGCCACGCCGCACCACGCCGCCGAGATCACCGGCACGTCCGAACTAACCGGCGGATCGCATGGCCGGCGGGAGAGTAAAGCGGTGCGTCCTCCCGCGTGCTCAATTATGGAATATGTTTTCTGTTTTGATCCGTGCAATATGCGAACGTCAAAACCAACAGAAATAAATCAAAGGCAGGGAGATTTTTCGCGATTTGATAAAATTTGTGGAAGCGTTTCAGGTTTCACTTCGTGATAACGGTCGCAAGCGGCCAAGGCTTATTCACATATTTAAAGAAATACTTAACACGTATGAACCACAAAACCACCCACACAGTCAGATTAATAATGATATTCGCGTAGAAACTAGCCCAGGTTTGTGTTCCAGGCTGCTGTGGCTGGTGGTGCACGCCCTGGCGACGGGCGGCGTGGTGTGGCAGGTCAACACCATGTACCACGAGTACCGCACGCAGGTGCCCATCACGACGGTGCAGTCGACGCACTACCACGTGTCGCTCGTGCCCTTTCCCGCAGTGGCCATCTGCGACATTAACAAGATTCGCAAGAGCCGGGTTCAGGCTTTAGCCGCCAAACTGTAAGCTCGGTGATTGACACGAATATGGGTGGTGAATTACCATGATTTAGATTCAAAAAGAAGCTAATCAGCTTTTCGTGTTGTTCTTTTAAAATTCAGCATTCGCGAACACGGGTTGGCGAGCGTGACACAAGAAGAGTTGACGGGGCTGCTGCGCTTCCTTGGCAGGCTGTACGACCACAGCCGTGAGGGCGAGGAGTATATCATGCGGTTAGAGGAGCTGTTCATCACCTACAACGTCACCCTGGACTACCGAGGAGTAATGCAGATGGTAAAATTATGGAAAGATAAATTTCACAAATAATGAAAACTACGAGTATTGGTGTTTCCTATGTTAATAGTATTTTTAAGTCCAACGTTAAAGCAGCTATAGCAGCAGTACGCCCCAATACGATAAGTTTTCATGCTGAAGACGTTAAAGTCACACTCATCGAGAAAAGTAATGCATGTATAACATGTGTAATCTTTTCTGTGTGCTCTGTACGCGCCTGTCCGTAGCTTGGCACCCAGTGCGATGAGCTGCTCCTGGCGTGTCGGTGGGCGGGCAAGGCCAAACCTTGCACCGAACTGTTCGAGACGCGGAAGACCATGGAGGGCTACTGCTGCACCTTCAACTATGTGCGTCCGACAGATAACTTCGACACGAGGTGACTGCGCCAAACCTACAGCAACAAAAAGGGGACGACACCCGTGTTCAGCAGCTCAGCCTCCCCACTCCCCTGTTTCCCCATCCACCGCCCTTCCAAGTGCTAGTTAGCGCCCGGGCCGGGCCGCAATGCTCCCTTGGGGGGCCTCGGCTGCGGCTGAGGGAGGTTGTTGTCTCTCTCTCCACGACTCCACGACCCCTCTCCTCTGCCCCCTTTCCCTCTCTCCCTTTTCCCCAGTCTGATGGCCTGAGTAATCTTCTTTGCATTACCACCTCCCCCCCTGCCGGCCCCCGCGCACCGCCTTCTTCTTGTGATACTCCTCGCTTGCCACATGCAGCCCATGCCAGCAGTGCATTTCAACCAGCCCGCCTGCTGCAGGGGCGACAAGACGCGAACCCTGTCTGAAAACAGGAACCCTAGTGCTGCACTTAGGCCCCAATCTAGATTGCGTGCCCCTCCTCTAGAAATGTGAGCCAACCCGCGTGATGGCTGTAAGTACGCAGTTCATGTTTTCTTCCTCTTTCTTTTCGGTCATGACCTACGGCAGTCCCTAGCCCTGCACACACTTACCTACTACTTCTCTCTGAGTGAAAAATGTGTTGAACTGAACGAAAAGCTTTGTTAGATTAAAAGGCTACCCTCACGGATCGCTGACCGACCCGTAGTTGGAGTACTTGGCTGAAGAGATAAAAAAGGCGAGTGCGAGAGAGATAGAGTCTAACGGCGTTCTTATAAATAAAGAGCGAAAAGGGCACAATGACATCTCAGGTGTTCAACTCATAAGCACTGTGGTAAAGTGTTTACGTACTTCAAGGCGTAAAATTTGAATGAAAGTGGAAGATACATTTGGGAAGATAGTTTATCTTAAAAGTGTCCGAATTCCCATTCAATCACGTTCAAGTACATAAACACGACGTCGAAACACTTGCACGTGCGGAGTAATTGAATACTTGGGACGTGCGGGGAAGAGGGCACGTCACATGAATATGAAGAGAAAGAAAGAGGGGGCTGTCCCGCGTCGCACAGCCTCGTCACTAGACTCTATCGCTCTCTGAAACACCCTCACTGAGCCCGTGTGTTTCTCCGCGCAGGCTGCATGCCAACGGCTCCATCGCGACGGTAAAGACGTCACGGTAAGAACAGTCGTGATTAAAGCCGCGCTTGTGGTTGAGCAGGGGGAGGGGAACGCAGACGCCGCACGCAGCCCCCCTCCTCAGCCATTGTGCTTCGCGCACGCCAGGATCACGCCTCGCATGTGGCCGCCGCCATCTGTGCGCGAGCACGCAACCAGCTAACACAAAAGCTTTATTCGCACGTGATAAGTTATTTGGCGTTCTACGGTGTAATTTGACACGACACATTAGTTTGGCTCAAAATGGAACGCATCAGATAACATAAGCATGATAGTTTACTGCGAAAATCGTTTGTGGGTGTGTTACGGGGAAAATTCCTATGAGCAATGTTGTAAAATTACGATTTTCCAAATGAGGAACAGCGGAAGTCTGAAGACACGACAGTATTGACTTGGAATTCTCCAACGAGCAATAATGGTCGTAAAATATACTATATTAACATCAAATTAAAATCGCAGATTACAAAAAAATAAATATATTCTAAACTAACA